CTAAACCCTAAACCCTAAACCCTAAACCCTAAACCCTAACCCTAAACCCTAAACCCTAAACCCTAACCCTAAACCCTAAACCCTAAACCCTAAACCCTAAACCTAAACCCTAAACCCTAAACCCTAAACCCTAAACCCTAAACCCTAAACCCTAACCCTAAACCCTAAACCCTAAACCCTAAACCCTAACCCTAAACCCTAAACCCTAAACCCTAAACCCTAAACCCTAAACCCCTAAACCTAAACCCCTAAACCTAAACCCTAAACCCTAAACCCTAAACCCTAAACCCTAAAACCCTAAACCCTAAACCCTAAACCCTAATTAGAAACCCTAAACCCAAAACCCTAACCCTAAACCCTAAACCTAAACCCTGGTTTAGGGTTTTGGGTTTAGGGCTTCTAATTAGGGTTAAGGGTTTAGGGTTTCTAATTAGGGTTTCTAATTAGGGCTTTCTAATTAAGGTTTAGGGTTTAGGGTTTCTAATTAGGGTTAGGGTTTAGGGTTTATTTATACATGATGCATAAATATGTAGCACAAATATATAGTATCATGACATCTTGTATAAGGTTTAATTTTCACGGGAGAAGAGTAGACTGGAGTAATAGTTTCTGTATAATAAAAGATAGTAGGCAATAATTGCGTGAATGGTTGCTTGCAAAATCAACGTATATCAGAAATGCAGACAGGCAAGGGGGGTTAGAGTTTTTCTATTTGTTTTGATCAACTTGAACATTGTTAATAATTGTCTAGTGCAGTAATGAAGCGGATACAGGTGCGAGGATGGATGCGTTTTGGTGCAGGTGGGCGGTAGGCGGTAGAAGATCGATTGCCAACGACGAGACGACGATACGGCTAGCTTAGCTCAGGCTGGCCGCCCGGCCGACGAGGTAAAGCAGCAGATGCATGTGAAGCTGGCTGGCTGAGGCTGGCTCGCTCGCTAGCCGACAACGTCATGTGATCCCTTGGCTCAGCTGCGCGCTCGCTTATACCCAACCACAAACTGCTCGATTCGATAGCTTCCTCAGATCAGTTGTAATCACAGGACACTTCTGCCCCTCAATCAGACAACACTAATACTGCTGTTTAGGGTGCAAAACAGGGAAAGCCATAGCATGATAGGAGTACGGAGTAGTACCAGCCAACCATAAACCAAGCAGGCACCCCCCCCCCGTCCTTGTGAAAGAGAAAAGGTTTTAACCGACCAACCAATATTTGGCACGCACGCACGCACGTAGCTCACACGGGCACACACAGTAGTCGCTCGCTCATCACTAGCAGCTCACACTCATCATCCATCACACGGAACAACGATGCACAACAACAATACTCTCCTCCTCCTCCTCCTCCACTGTGTTGTTTAGCTGCAGCATCCCATGACCAATGGGGATGGGGATGGAGAAAGATGGTTGCGAGGTGGAGGCTCGGGGCATCAACCACCACATCCGCATCCCCATCCCCATCCCCATCCAAAGCGCGCTCACCCTCTCATGATGATGAAGATATGGAGCAGGGAAGAAGACGAAGACGAGCAGCAGCAGCAGCAGCATCCCACGACCACCACCACCCGCCACGTTCTCCGCAACGTCTCCTGCCGCGCCCGCCCCGGCGAGCTCCTCGCCATCGTCGGCCCCAGCGGCGCCGGCAAGTCCACCCTTCTCGAGATCCTCGCCGGCCGCCTCCACCCCTCCACGCCTCCCGACCAGGACCAGCTCCTCCTCAACGGCGCCCCCGCCACCACCGCCGACCTACGCCGCGTCTCCGCCTACGTCACCCAGCGCGACGTCCTCTTCCCGCTCCTCACCGTCCACGAGACGCTCCGCTTCAGCGCCTGCCTCCGCCTCGGCACCCGCAACCGCATCGACATCGACGCCCTCATCCACGACCTCATCCTCGCCCGCGTCGCCGACACCAGGGTCAAGGACCTCTCCGGCGGCGAGCGACGCCGCGTCTCCATCGGCCGTCCACGACCCCGCGGTTCTCATCCTCGACGAGCCCACCTCTGGACTCGACAGCGCCTCCGCCCTGCAGATCGTCGGCACCCTCCGCGCCATGGCCGACACTCGCCGCCGCACGGTGCTGCTCAGCATCCACCAGCCCGGCGCGCGCATCGTCAAGATGTTCGACTCCGTCCTCCTGCTCGCCGGTGGCTGCGCCCTCCACCACGGCACCGTCGACGCCCTCCGCTCCCTGCTCGCCTCCGCGGGCCTCGCGATGCCCCCGCACGTCGACACCGTCGAGTTCTCCATCGGCTCCGTCGACGCGCTCCGCCGCCGGAGCGCCGCCGAGGCCCGCGACCGGTGCACGCTGCAGCAGCTGTTCCAGCTGCTCAAGGAGGACGTGGAGATGGAGATGGAGATGGAGATTGAGAAGAAGAGCCGGTACGCCAACAGTTGGGCGCGCGAGGTGGGCGTGCTGGCGCAGCGCTTCTTCAAGAACGTGGCGCGGACGCGGCAGCTGTTCGCGTGCCGCACGGTGTGCATGCTGGTGGCCGGCCTGGCGCTGGGGTCCATCTTCTACGACCTCGGGGAGGAGAAGGTGGCGGAGCGCGTCGGCCTCTTCGCCTTCCTCCTCACCTTCCTGCTGTCGTCCACCACGGAGGCGCTGCCCATCTTCCTGCAGGAGCGGGAGATCCTGGCCAAGGAGACGTCGTCGGGCGCGTACCGCGTGTCGTCTTACGCGGTGGCGAACGCGGTGGTGTTCCTGCCTTTCCAGCTGGCGCTGGCCGTGGTGTTCGCGGCGCCGGTATACTGGATGGCGGGGCTCCGGAGGACGGCGGCGGTGTTCGGGTACTTCGTGGTGCTGGTGTGGCTGATCCTGTACACGGCGAACTCGGTGGTGGTGTGCTTCGCGGCGGCAGCGCCGGACTTCGTGGTGGGGAATGCGGCGATACAGGGGGTGATGGGGTCCTTCTTCCTCTTATCCGGCTACTTCACCGCGCGGTCGGCGATGCCGTCGTGCTGGGTGTTCATGCACTACCTGTCGCTGTTCAAGTGGCCGTTCGAGGCGCTGCTGGTGAACGAGTTCGCGGGCGGGGGGAGGTGCGTGGCGCGGGTGATGGGCGCCTGCGTGGCCACCGGAGACGAGGTGCTGCGCCGGGAGGGGCTCGGCGACGAGTGCCGGTGGCGCAACGTGGGCGTCATGCTGGGATTCGTCGCCGCGTACCGCCTGCTCGGCTACGCCGTGCTCAGGGCAAGGTGCACCCTTGCGCTCAGGCCCAGGCCCAGCAGGCCCACCCGGGGCCTCATGAGCACCGGATCCTCGCCGTCGTCTACCTCCTCCTCCTCCTGACTCCTCACGTCATCTACTACTGTACTAGCACCTATACTACTGTTTCCCTTAACACGATCGATCGTGTTTCCTCGTTTCATTGATGCCTCCAAAACTCCATCACATCTCCATGACTCCATGGATGCATGCAGGATGCAGCCAATACTAGTTACTACAAGTACTGTACTACTAGTAGTTCAGTAGGACCACTATTGCGCACGAATCTTACCTAATGATCGCCTACTCTTTGACTATACTACATACACTACGACAAGAACTGAGGTGATGCGCAACTGTTTTTGTATGAAATTCAGTCAAACTATTTAGTTTCGATTAGTAACCAAAATTGGGTACTGATGTGCAAGGAAATACTGATCTGCGGACCCGTGGATTGAGCTAAAAGACAGGCTTGGGTTGGGAAGCACTCAATGTTGATTTTTATAAGACGTGTTTTGATTTTAAAGTGTTAAAGTTTATAAGACGTGTTTTGATTTCTATCGAGGATGCAGTTTTAACATAAATCGATTATCAATGTTTAATATGAAGAATTTCAAAATAAAAATTTGTAAAAACCAACTAGTGGGGCCTTATCACTACTCCCTCGTTTCATCATATTGTAAGACATTTGGATTGTTTTCCCTAGTCAAACTTCTTTTTTAAGTTTGATCAAGAAAAACCACATAGCAATAGATACTTGAAACTAATTTGGTGTAATAGATGTTAATTTTTCTATAATTTAGTAAAACTTAAAGAATTTTGAATAGAAAAAAGTTAAAACATCTAATAATATAAAACAAGAGTATAAATAAACAACACGTCTTCCTATCTAGAGGAATTTACTTAAGCTTGACTCAACAATATAAGGATGAGTGTCAGGCTCTCCACTCAAAACTCCAAAATCCGATTGAAATGAAATCCACCAAAATTACTATGATTTTCCTTGGAATTAAAGGGGGCCTCACCGCCTCAGTTCCAGACATGCAACCACACAGCATAGCGAACTCACATTCGCATGTCCTGTTCTAGAAACGACACCAACGAGGATGCACTGTAATGGACTATCAATCATGGATCAAGCAATACAAGCGCATGCAGCTCCTGCTCAATCCTGAAACCAGGCGAAACGACCTGCCTCTGTGCGGCGCCGTGGACATTTAGCAGTACAACATGTCACAGAGGAAGAGGCTGTCCTGGAACGAGACCATGGAAGGACGTACGTTGTTCATGCCTTCGCCCTGTGGTGATGATGCTAGTGCTGGTGCTGGGAGAAAGAAGATCTTTTCAGGTTCAACTGTCGACTCTGCTGCGGTTCAAGGGAAGAACATGTCATTGTCAGTCAACACAGATAAAATGGTTCCATGAAAATACAGCTGCTGAAATGGAAAATGAATATAGCAATATACTTCCTCCATTTCATATTATAAGACTTACTAGCATTGCCCACATTCATATATATGTTAATGAATCTAGATATATATATGTGCCTAGATTCATTAACATCTATATGAATGTGGGCAATGCTAGAAAGTCTTATAACCTGAAACGGAGGTAGTACTAAGGAGCAATAGCATGCCAAACGACAAAAAACAAGCACAGTAGCTACACCATGTACCTGTAGTTTGAAGCAAAACACTCAGAGCCAAGCAATTCCATATGATAGAAACATTCATCATGGAGTTCATTCGTCTGAACAAACAAACCATAACCCCCTGATTTAGATGTTCCATAAAACGTTTCATGAATAACAGCAGGCAAAGAAATGCAAGCTGCAGAAAAACATGAAAGAGATGTCTGTATATGATCTTTCTATATGGTTACCTGACACTACATTCTGTTGTAGATATGCCAAGGTGCGGATGGTTTTTTAAATGATAACTGTAATATAGACACATTCTGGTACATTCTATGAATATAGGCACTGCAAGAAATTAAACCACTAAATTGTATACACCAAAGCCAGCCAGCGGAAGTTAAAATACGGTTCTCTGATTCATAGTATCTTTTTAAAAAAAAAATCAATGCGCAATACAATAACTGGTAAAAAAATCTTAGTACCACATCAGCTAAAAGACAACTGATAAGCACACTTAGCTTATGCCAAACAGGTAAACAAGAGAAAAATAAAGTGCACAATAAAAAGTGAGCAGGTTTGTGTCAATAAATGCATTAGCTTGATTTCATAGATTTGATACAAGTAAAAATGGCCCCAAAACTAACAAACCACACACTCACGCTTTAGAAGTTTGTAACTAATCAATACAGAGAAAAGGCAATATCTGACTATTCTTCGACATCTTCCTCAGTATCTTGCAACAAAGCTCCTCGCACTCTCGCCCTGGAGAAAAATAGCAAGAGTCAGAGCTGGTCTACAATCAGATACAATAAAATTTCTTTTCATGTAAAAGTAGCGATTCAAGAAAACCGTACAACCTCCGAGATACAGAGGCTATCCTCTTCGTGGCTTTAGCTGGAGGAACTTTGATAGGTGAAACTACTGCAGGTTTGCAATTTCATTAGCTGAGAAAACACAGAATTGTTTGTTTCAGTGCTGCATGGAGAAGCATGGTTACCTGGTGTTTGCTGCTGTGCTGGAACAATAACCTGATCAGAGCCCTGAGTCACATCAGACACACTTGGAACCTGATTGGCCACCAGCTTTGGCTTTGTTGCCTTTCTTTTGTCTAGAAAAGAAAGAGCTTCGAGTTGCTTTTGCATTATTTCATTCTTTTCCTGTGAAATCAAAGAGTGTTACTAACATCACACAATACAATTTATATAACCAACTATTGCAACAAGAAGAAAAAAACTATGGCAGAGATTAAGAATTGCTTTGCCATTACAAAAATATGCTGAGAAATTTAATTAAACAGAGGAAGCAAGCAGCATCTGACATTGAACCTCAATGATAACTGGATCTCCTGGTACAGCAGAGATTAAGAATTGCTTTGCCATTACAAAAATATGCTGAGAAATTTAATTAAACAGAGGAAGCAAGCAGCATCTGACATTGAACCTCAATGATAACTGGATCTCCTGGTACAATAGGCCAACACAGAGAACAAGGATGCAGGAGCATTCATGCTTGAAATTTTGTGGGGAAAAGAAGTGATTACTGAAAAAATAATAATCAAGCATTTATATATGGTAAACATCCAGCAATCAAGTTGTAGTATGTCAAAAACTGTCCTTTTGAACTTTAGGGCTGCATGACTAGCAGTATGTCAAGTTGGCAACCTATAATGCTAATAAAGGGTTTGACATTGTGACGAAAAGAAATGTATGTATGGTTCCATTTATGCTAACGATGTACTCCTTCATCAAGCAGCAGAAACATCGGTTAATGATAAGTAAAGTAATAAGGGGGTTAGGGAAACAACCTTTTCAGATGATAGAGTCTCCATCAGCTTTGACGCTCGCTCTTGTTCTGAAAAAGAGGGGATATCAATGTTTAAGAGAAACAAAAGCATAGGGGTAATATAATAGTACTAGAGTGAATAATAATGGAGCGAGTAGGACCTCTGGATGCATGGTCCTGCGTAGTCCTAAAAGCGGCATAGAGTGATAGTGAGAAATTGGCAATGACATCATTCAGCGCGGAGTGAGTAAGGGTGTTGAGGGAAATGGTGATGCGAGGTAGACCCTTTGCCTTTGTAGCAACAAGATGAACGCGATCAAGCCCTGTAGTATTATCCATATGAGCATAGGGAAGATGGGCAATGTAGTGTAGTGTAAAAAAGCGTGGTATAGGTAGTTTGAGTACCGACCATTGTGAGGAAAGAGGAGGTTGACTTCCCCAGAGGAGAGGCAAGATTTGAGGTAATCCAGGAAGTCGGAGCAGGAGCCGCCGATCCCGACGTCGTCTCTCTGGAAAAGCACAATGCGATTAGTGAGACTGATACTGATTAGGGATTGGGAGGAGAAGGGGCTTACGAGATCGTCGATGTCGGAGAGGAAGAGGGAGCGGTCCCAGGCGTGGGAGTGGAGGTCGGTGGCGAGGAGGCAGAGTTGGGAGACATCATCAGTATGGGCGTGGGCGTGGGCGTGGAAGAGGACGGGTCGCATCCGTATCGTCACCGGCGGCTTGGCCTCGCCGAACACGGAGCCGAAGGCATCCATGGCCATGGCCATGGCCAGCCTGACTCGACTCTGGTCTGGAGTGGGCCACCCAAGTCAGGGAGAGAGAGAAAGAGAGAGAGAGAGTCCTTGGGGTGACTCGGAGGCTGTGTTCGGATTACTAATCTATCTATACTACTTAAAAAACACATAGTGGTGATGGTGAAGCCAGAGCAGACACGGGATCCAACGTAAAAACGTACACCGACAAGTTCGGAGCGAAAAAAAAAAGCGCACACTCCACCACCGCAACAAAAAAAACAAAACAAAAAAAACCGTGAGCCACGGCCATCCTCCGCAACAAAAAAACAGAACAACCCTAGATCCGCGTCCCACGCCCCGGATGGTGAAGGATGGAGAGTTGGAGACTATGTGCTTCCAGATCTTTCCTGATTACTGTAAAACTGTAAACATGGGATACAGGGAAGTGGACATAAACTATTTTCATAAGATAAGATGCATAGATTATTTTCAGTTTTGTTGGCCTGATCTCCTGCAGTTAAGTTTCACCTATACTTTAGTATTTGACGTGTGGAACGACGGCCATGAATCCGGTTACTGACAGATCAAAGCCTTCTAGCATAATTGACCATGGTAAAGAACACATTGGATCTGAACCAAGCAAACTTATCACAGATGCACGCCACCAATCACAGGTGCATGTACTCCAAATATAAATGTGTCTAAATATGCATGTCACTGATAAATACTACAAAATACTATTTTTTTATTGTAAATATACATGTGTGAATCAATTGCACAAGATCAAAGACGTTTGTTTCTTTGGAGCATGTGTATTGTACCTGGTTGGAGCCGGCCTATGTAACCTGAGCTTGAACCGGCGGCGACGCTTCCAGTCAAGGGTAGGTTGGCCACAACGAGGCGGCGTCCCTGACCGGACGGCGATGAGGCTTCGCTTGATATGGCAGCAGGAATCAGCAAAGGCGGCGGCGTCTCCTTCCTGGTGGTGGTGGCTGAGAGGCCGGAGGAGAACGACGGCGAGGAATCGGCGCAGGCGGTGGGCGTATATTCCTCTTTGGCTGTTGTCACGATTAGAGGGCAAGCGAGTGGTCGCAGCGACGGCGGCGAGGAGGCGGCGCCTCGGCGGTGATGGCGCGGCGTGACGTCCTCCTCCCGCGTCGGCGGTCGAGGGTGGCGCGGGTCGCAGCGACGGCGGCTAGGAGGCGGCGCCTCGGCGGTGGAGGACGCGGCAGAGGGAGAAGGCCGAGGGCGGCGCGGGGCGTGGGACGCGGATCTAGGGTTGTTCTGTTTTTTCGTTGCGGAGGATGGCCGCGGCTCACGGTTTTTTTTGTTTTGTTTTTTTTTGTTGCGGTGGTGGAGTGTGCGCTTTTTTTTTCACTCCGAACGTGACGGTGTACGTTTCTACGTTGAATCACGTGTTTGCTCTGGCTTCACCATCACCACTACGTGTTTTTTAAGTAGTATATAGATAGATTAGTAATCCGAACATAGCCTCCGAGTCACCCAAGGACTCTCTCTCTCTTTCTCTCTCCCTGACTTGGGTGGCCCACTCCAGACCAGAGTCGAGTCTGGCTGGCCATGGCCATGGCCATGGATGCCTTCGGCTCCGTGTTCGGCGAGGCCAAGCCGCCGGTGACGATACGGATGCGACCCGTCCTCTTCCACGCCCACGCCCACGCCCATACTGATGATGTCTCCCAACTCTGCCTCCTCGCCACCGACCTCCACTCCCACGCCTGGGACCGCTCCCTCTTCCTCTCCGACATCGACGATCTCGTAAGCCCCTTCTCCTCCCAATCCCTAATCAGTATCAGTCTCACTAATCGCATTGTGCTTTTCCAGAGAGACGACGTCGGGATCGGCGGCTCCTGCTCCGACTTCCTGGATTACCTCAAATCTTGCCTCTCCTCTGGGGAAGTCAACCTCATCTTCCCTCACAATGGTCAGTACCCAAACTACCTATACCACGCTTTTTTACACTACACTACATTGCCCATCTTCCCTATGCTCATATGGATAATACTACAGGGCTTGATCGTGTTCATCTTGTTGCTACAAAGGCAAAGGGTCTACCTCGCATCACCATTTCCCTCAATACCCTTACTCACTCCGCACTGAATGATGTCATTGCCAATTTCTCACTATCACTCTATGCCGCTTTTAGGACTACGCAGGACTATACATCCAGAGGTCCTACTCGCTCCATTATTATTCACTCTCTAGTACTATTATATTACCCCCTATGCTTTTGTTTCTCTTAAACATTGATATCCCCTCTTTTTCAGAACAAGAGCGAGCGTCAAAGCTGATGGAGACTCTATCATCTGAAAAGGTTGTTTCCCTAATCCCCTTATAACTATACTTATCATTAACCGATGTTTCTGCTGCCTGATGAAGGAGTACATCGTTAGCATAAATGGAACCATACATACATTTCTTTTCGTCACAATGTCAAACCCTTTATTAGCATTATAGGTTGCCAACTTGACATACTGCTAGTCATGCAGCCCTAAAGTTCAAAAGGACAGTTTTGACATACTACAACTTGATAGGTAGAATGCATGTTTGTAATAGAATCATTTAGCCCAATAAAACTTAGAATCAATGTGATCAAAGGAGGGGCAAACTTGCCTTCATCTGCAAACTCCTGAACCTGGTCGTCAACAAACTCACCCTCTTCTTCTTCGACGTACTCTTCCTCTATACAAAATACACGTATACGATAAATACAAAAATGCATAAAAACCAAAATGCATGAAACTTATGCAGTGAGTGTGTGCTGGTCTTAGGTGGTCTCTGGTGAAGGAATTTTTATTTTGTCACTTTTTATTCACAGAGATATGCATTTTACAATTAAAAAGGTTTAAAAAGGGCTAAGTTTTATTAAGCAACATTTTTGTACAGAAGTGAAGAAATTACTTTCACAATGTTACAGAGCATGATTTTATAAAGTTAACAGAAGTGGTTTCACAATTTTTATAGCTATATTCAATTTGTTATGGATTTAACAAGTTCTAGGCAACATTATGGCAAAACAAAAATAAAGGAAAAGTTTGTACAGAAAGTACCCAGTTTTATATTTTTTAAAATATATCACAGCTTTATGGATCTAATAAAACTGGTTTCACAATTTTTGAAGTTAAAATGAATTTTCTACAAATTTTAGAAGTTCTGCTCATTCTCTGTTTTAAACCAAAATAGAAATCAATTTTCGAAATTGAATTCCAGCCGGGTCCACAGGTCAGTGAAAGGAGATTTGCAGAGAGGCCCTCGTAAGTTGGGGGAATCAACCCGCACTTCTTCTGCCACTTGGACAGCAAAATTTATTAAGAGTCCCTATTCTTTTGTTTATTTCCATCAAGGTTCTGCTATAGTAATATGAGTCATGGCATTTTTCAGATTGGACCCTAGTGTCGATCAAATTCAAGAAATGAAGTCCCCAGCTAGCTCACATCGGGAGCAGCCATGGCTGAGCTCGGTCTACGGCTCACCGGCGGCGATCGGTGGATCGAATCGGTTCGAGCACAAAATAGAAAATGTAGAGGACGTTCTTGCGCATCCGTGAGTGGTGGTGGTGAGGGAAATGGTGGTCTGTAGCCCATGGAACATGAGCTACAATGGCGGTGTGTCTCGGTATGCCCATGCATGTGCATGCAGAGGCTTGGTTAGTGCAAAGGGTTAGTGCATGTGCTCTCATATGGTATCAGGGTGCTCACCAAGCAGAGAAACGGAGGCAGCGAGGTCCAGGGAGCGGCGGAGGTGGTGGTTGTTGGCCAACGACGGCAAAACTCCGGCGTCAACGTCGCCGGGTCGACTCAAGGCGCGAACTGCAACTTCGAGAGTACGGGGGTGTTAGAGATGAGCCACAGAGGGTGCATGCACGAGGAATCCGGCGGAAACTCACCGGAGCTTGGTGTTGCTTCGGTGGTGAGGAACGGCGGCCGGAGCGGCGTCGGCGGTTCGGGTGGCCGGCGGCGAGGACGGTGACGAAACACAGAAACACAGTATTCTAGGATGCCATGTACCTCATTTGCCTGGGCTTGTTTGGGCACCATAAACGTGAGGATGATTGCTTTCTCATTCAAGAGTGCAACTTCTGTAGAAATTGATGTAGCAACTAGCAGGTGTATTTTTCAGTTTTATTATGTAACTTCTCATCCACATAAGTTATTGCATATGCCATATCCACTATTTGAACGGCTGAGTCTGAGTTTGATGATATGTAAACCCCTCATTTATGTGCATAACTACATCTAGCCCAAGTTGGTGATTTAGCTCCATGAACATAGAACAAGGAGCTAGTGTGCCATAGTTTTTTTGACATACGTTTGCCCCAACCAAAGCAAGAATCAGCAAAGCAAAACAATCTTGCTAAAATGGCATCTAAAAAATAAAAATTATGTTAGATGTATAGTGCCTAACTGGTGTTGCAACAATCTATTTTGCACGTTCTCTGTTGTAGGTTGTTAGTCTCAAGTTTTTGCTTCTGTTGTGCAGCAACGACGGGCACAGGCAAATAGAAAAGGCACTCGGATGGATGACGGCATTCGTGGCTTTAGAATTGATCCTCCAGCAAGAGTCGGCGAAAATGGCATTGCTCAGCGTGTTCCTCTGTTGCATGCTGGCCGTTCATCGTCTACTCTGGGCCGATCGAATGAGACTGATGAAAAGACCCAAAGATTTTACACATCTCAGATGCCGAACTTGTCTTGTGCTGCTGAGCCACGAGGCGGTGCTACTCGGTCATCTAACCATGGGGATGGTGCCAAGAGGCCACATTTGAGAGAGCATCCATCTAGGTCAAGGTACAGGCAATTAACTGCTGTTGATTCCTCCGGTAGATCTGAATGGACACACCAGTTTCAAGAAAGACCGTCATCTTCCCATCGGAAGGAAGGTGGGGCGGCTAACAAGGAGCATACTGTGGTGAGTCAGCTATATACTATATAAACTTTCTTTTTCATTTGTGCGAAAAAAGGACAGGAGAAAATTAAGACCGCATTTCACCATTCATTGGGTAATTACCCGCCTCTATACATTAATAAAAACTAGCGTGGGGCCCGCGCAGATTGTGCGGCTAGCATCATTATATTTTCTCTCATATAATAGAATATATGTTTTCTCATTATATTATTCAAATATATTAAAATGACAACATAATTTTAAATTTTGCAATAACTTTACAAAACTACTAATGTGTAATATTCATATTGTATTTTATATACGTGTTAGTTATTAATTATTTTCAATATCAAATTTTAGTTATTTGTAAATTATATGTATTCCTATATGGACTCTAGACTCGTCTTTTAATATTTTTTTAAAAAAAATTCTGAATTTTCTGTAAATTGTATTTTTATATAGACTCTATGCTTTTTTTCCAATATTATTTATTTTTATTTCTGAATTTTTATTATTTCTAATTGTATTTCTATGTGGACTCTAAACTTATCTTTCAATATTATTTAATTTTTAATTTCGAATTTTAGTTACTTCTAAATTGTATTCCTGTATTGACTTTAAATTCTACTTCCCATGTTTTTCTTAATTTCGAATTTTAGTTATTTGTAAATTGTCTTTTTACTTCCCATGTTTTTCTTAATTTCGAATTTTAGTTATTTGTAAATTGTCTTTTTATACGGACTCTAAACTCTAATTTTAATTTTATTATGTTTATTCCAAATTTTAGTTAGTTTTAAATTCCTATATGGACTCTATACTCTACTTATAATATTCCTTATTTTTTTAATTCCGAATTTCATTTTTTTTCTTAAATGTATTTCTATATGGACTCTATACTCTACTTCTAATATTTCTTATTTTTAATTCCGAATTTCAGTTATTTCCTAATTGTATTTCTATATAGACTCTATACTCTACTTTTAGTCTTTTAATATTCCTTATTTTTAATTCCGAATTTCAGTTATTTCGTAATTGTATTTCTATATGGACTCTAGTCTCCTCTTCTAATATTTCTTATTTTTTAATTCCGAATTTCAACTATTTCTAAATTATATTTTCATATGGACTCTAGTCTCATATTCTAATATTCCTTATTTTTTAATTCCGAATTTCAGCTATTTCTAAATTGTATTTCTGTATGAATTTTGCTTTTTCTTTTTCTCCGATTAATATGAGAATTTCTAGGTCATGAGAGCGAACGTGGAGGCATGTATGGCGTATCATCAGGTGAATGGCAGTAAGAAGAACAGGATCCACTACTCTGGGCCGTTGATGCCTCACGGAGGTAACATGGAGGAGATTCTCAAAGAACACGAGCGTCAAATCCAGCAGGCGGTACGAAGGGCGCGCATGGACAACCAGGCAAGAGGCACGCAGGCGTTACGGACGGATCGCTGATTGATCTAGTTATGCAAGGGAGCTGAGCTGCCTCTGGTCCATCCCTGAATTCCTGATGATGGACAGAGATTTTTGGTTGGCTACTATATATATATTGTTGGCATGCATTGAATTGTTCATTTTTTGTGTTGCCCGTCCGTCTTCACTTGTTACTTGGGCAACACCAACCAACAAAAGAGCGGAAGAAGAGATCGACAGCGTTGCTGGCTGTACAGATAGATGATGTAATTGTAACCACACGCACGAAACAGATATATATGTAGAGATATAACTGGAATGGAAAGGAAAGGAATGATATATACACTCTGTCGGATGGAAGTTGTTTTTTTTGTTCTGTTTTGATACACTGCACTGTATGTCTGTATGTAGATGAGAGACATGAAAGAGTATATGAAAAATTGTTACAGGCGAGGCGATCGTTGCAAGGTGTACAATTAAGTCAGTTCCACTCAAACTGCACGAGTTACTGCAAATTAAAAGGCAACAAGTTAAGGTCATGTACAATTGTTCTTTCTTAGCGTTGCTAATTATGAATATTTGTTGACATGGAAAAGAGAAATATGAGAGATAAAATGTTATTGCTACGGTAACAATGGCCTAACAACGACTCTTAAACTCTATATGGAAACATGGTTACATGAGGGTGAAAAATAGAAAAAAAAGTTAATAAAATAAATATTCTTTTAGTTAATGGTTAGAGCTTTTATCGTCTCAACTGTTGTGATAATGACATAGTTTTTAAATAATCTTATATTGGCTAAGTACAACTGTTGTAAAGATATACTACCTGTGTCCAAATTCATAGCTAAAAATGCTTATATTTTGGGACGGGGGAAGTGGTTTTTAAATAATCTTATACTCTTTTAAGTATGTCCTTTATTGTCGATCCGTGTCTAGTTTTAATCATCTATCTTATTTAAATTTTTTTAAAAAAAATTAAATAAAACATAAATCACACATAAAGTACTATTAATGTTTTATCATCGAATAACAATAAAAATACTAATCATAAAAAATTTTAAATAATACGTACGATCAAAATTGGATAAAAAAACTCATAGCTACGTTTAAAATGGAACGAGAGAAGTATTTGTTTCTATCATTGAACCTGTTCTAAGGGAGAGAAGTATTGTTTCTATCATTGAACCTGCTCTAAGGGTGTGTTTGGTTGCCCTCACATAGGGTGGCTCGCATCCAGCGAGATGTGGTGCATGCGTTTGCCGTTTGGTTGCCTGTTTGCACGCGCGAACCAGGCTGTGCTGATGCAAAATCTGCTTCCCAGCCAGGCTGAGGGGGAACGCCCGATTCCTTCGTAGCTCCTTGTCCAGGCTCAACTCGTGCAACGCGTGGGGACGAGCGGATGCAGGCGCGCCCGAGCGGGTGCAGGCAACGCGTAGGGGTCGGTCGATCCGCTCACCCCCCATCTCTCATTTGTTTCTATTGCCCATCCGATTGCTCCTCGCCGCTCTTCGCCCTCGTCTCCATCGTCGTCGCCGCCCACCATCGAGGTCCTCAACCCTCACCGACTTCTCCACAGCCTCCATCTCCGTCTCTACTTCACGGGCTGGAACCGGCGGCCTCGAGCACGTCGCCACTCGCCATTGGATCCAACGGAGGGAGGCTCGACGGAGGACGCTGCCACCATATCCAACAAAGAGAGGCAGAGAGAGGCGTGAAGGAGCTCGATGGAGGTTTCGTCGACTGCCCCTCTCTGCGCCACCGCCTCCAACCTCGCCAGCCGCCGGATTCCTCCTCGCTGGTCACAGATTCCCCATCGTGGCTGCTTCTCTTCCCTTCATTTACTAGTAATGTGCCCGTGCTAACGCTACGGTGATATTAGTAATGACGATACAGGTATAACATGACATATGTGTGGGTGCACATGACAATCAAATTCTCACAAATTGGCATAGAAGGTTCTCCACTATAAGTTATTTTATGAGACAACCACAAATGATAAAAAAATACTGAACGTACATAAAAATGATATGATGATAATGAGGTTTATTTTAATCACCGATATCTTCTTATATAGTCTTAATAATCTACTGAAATGCTCACATTTGCTGAAAAAAGGGAATTACTAATGAAAAATAAATTAAAAATATATTAAAGAGCTTTTACAAACACATGGTCGGTGGGTTGTAAATATTCCATCCAGATCAAGCATTTTAAGTGAAATATGGTTTGTGATTTTAAAAAAAATGTAACATGCATCTATACTGCACAACAGACTAAAATCATAGTATACATTAAGTGTTATCTCCAAACAAGATGGTTAGCGGTCTCAGTGGCAGAGTAAGATGCAGAGCAAGGTTATAGCTCCTTCAAAAAGACTATCTATACAAAAAAGAATCACAAATTTCAGATATGCATATTCATATTGTCCACTAAATTTTGCTTACAACTATGATTCTTCCGTCACCATCGCATTGGAGCAGAAAAGAAAGTGCAGCATATGCCTAAAACCTTGTTGTACTACTTCATCAAAAGTTATTGTTGGTGACTTCGATAATTCAGAGTTCCCATCTTCTCCCCTTCTTGTATTGCATTGCATAATCTCGCATAGACCATAGTAGATATGTTCCGTCTTCTTCCATTCTTGTGCCAAACTCCTAAATTTTCAACAAACCTTGCTGTAACACTTTGCTCTAGAAGTCCTTCTAAAGACTCATCTTTTTTGTCACTGGGAACCCACAACAGCTCTTTGATTGGCACACTTTACTATTATCACTTTCTACCTGCATACTTACAACACCCAACTAATTACCACTTACCAGAACAGCTGGTAATAGCAGTGTACTGTTAGTTTATTAACCAATTATTTTTCTGCAAATGGTAGCACAGTGCTTAAAATACTGAAAATTTAGCATATTGTGTATATAGGATTAATTAGAAGCACATTAGATTTAATAGACAATACTGGAACCTGTAGCAAAAAGGAGTTAATTTGACAAACCCTTTTCTTTTTATGTGCATAAAAGATATCTGTGAAAGACAATTTGTTCTGGTTTGTCCTCTTACTTTATATCAGATTATTACTAATTTGTCTCTGCAATAATGTAGTAGCCAGATTTTAGAGATATACAGGCAGGGTGCTGAAATGGCACAAATCTCTAAATAGAGCAATCAAATTGTATACACCTGATAAATTTGTCCTCAATATTATTTACGTAAATTTTATTCAGTTTCAGGGACATGTTCAAGTTCAGAGAATCATTAAGAGCTTGTTTTCAGCCGTAAATTCAGATTTCAGACACATCCAAAATGATCTGATTTTATTCTTTTACTTAAAAATTCACTTTGGAAGCATATTTTGTGCTATAAAAATCAATTAAAAGGTTGAAGGACAACGAGCGAGGACAGCTAGCAAACCTCAGCTCAATTGACCCTACTTCAGGCATCAACGGCCAAGCAATTACTCCCTCCGTCCCACAATATAAGGGATTTTTAGTTTTTGCTTGCAACGTTTGACCACTCGTCTTATTCAAATTTTTTTTGCAAATATAAAAAACGAAAAGTTGTGCTTAAAGTACTATAGATAATAAAGTAAGTCACAAATAAAATAATTAATAATTTCAAAAAAAATTTGAATAAGACAAGTGGTCAAACGTTGCAAGCAAAAACTCAAAATCCCTTATATTATGGGACGGAGGGAGTAACTCTGTACATGAACCTGCTTGTTCTGATGAGGAGTAGGCTCCATGAAAGCTGAACTTGATGCCCACCTATCTGAGACCTATCCAGCACATGGATGGTATCTTGATCTTCACCAGATGACCTGAAAATACAATAATACAACCAAAGCAACAAAAGATCAGGACAAATATGTATTAGGTAAAGATGGTTAGCAAAGAAACCATGAAGGATTTATTAACCAGCTGTTCAAGCACAACTTCATACAAAATTGTAATATAAAAAGCATGAACTTCCTAAATAATCTTCTTTGTACCAAGCAGTCCTGAAAGTTCCAAATTGACTGGTCTCTATCTAAGAGATGGAAGGGCAGAGCTTTTTTATGGTTTTCATCTTTTCATAAGATCAGCTAAAAAAGCTCAGTGTTGCATAGATATATAAAGATAACCTAAAGAGATACAAATAATTCTTGGTCATGAGGGCACGAGTCTACCATCATAGGCAGTAGTCCATAGAGATGATCATTTAGATAAATAATTCATTGGAATAAATAAAAATACAAAATCATAAATCAAGCCTGCTCTCCAGGGACAAATAATCTGGTAAATTTATAAGACGTAAAGAAGCATGTGCATTGCACAAACTTATTGTGCCATGCAAACCATATACTTCCTCCGTCCCAAAATGTAGCTACCTAGTACAGGATGTGACATTATCCAGTACTACGAATCTAGACAGCCTCCCAAAAATAGGAAGTGCATTTCATACCAACCAAGAAAATAGTTCGCCTATAATAATGACTCAACTCATATATTCTATTTATATACAAATCAAAAAAAGAATTTAAAGAAAAAGTATATATACAACTCATATACTCTCTAAATTTCTACATCTCTTCTATGACAGGACCTGATAGGTTAGGGGAAAAATGCAACATGCTGGATAAATAAATACATGCTGGATTGAAACCATTTAAAATCAAGCAACTTGTTGATTTTTATCTTATTGCAGCAGCTACATTTTACAACTCGCGAATGGAAAACCTCAAAATCATTAGAAAAACTATTTTTATTGAGAAAATGATTACCTAAATAACCAACAGAAATCAGGAAATGGACCTAATAAAGTGGATACCCAGGCAGAATGTTTCCATTCAAATAAAAAAAGAAATATCTTGTACTTATAGAGCATAAAAAAACCCAACTATTACCGAGCAAGCACCTGAACAGCTCCCCTTCCATCAGTCCCAGCACCTCCTTTTCTCCCCTCCTAGCTTCTGTAAAAAACAATTTTGCCAATCAGAACTGATGTTAGAACAGCAAAAGAAAAAAAACTGAGAGAAGGTCATGGACCCATCCAAAAATAATAATAATATATGATTCGATGCTTCCAAATGGTTAGCCTTGGATCAATCATAAGGTTGAAACCGTAATGGTATGGTTGAAAGCACAACAATAGGATCAAATTATTTTACCGTAACCAAATTGTTGTGAGGCATATCCCTACGAAATCTGGAAGGGAACGCAAATTAGCTGGTGGACTAACAGAGGTAGATCAGGCTCGCTAACATCTAATAGTTTGCTCTTGTATCGTAGTCAAAATCAAATAGGCACAAGAAAAATAATGAACTGGGATGGAGAAGAATCAAACTTGCCGTAGAGCTCTAGACACCGGACGTCTGGGCCCGAAGAGGACCGAGCGCGCTACAGAGACTTGCGGGAATAGTGGTCAGGCGGCGCGGCGGCGATTTGATGAAGTCCCGATGGAGAGCGGTCGGCGAGACGGCGCTAGGGCGAGTTGGCGCGATGGGCAGAGGGGCCAGATGGGGTGGCGATGAATGCGCGAGGGCGAGCATCGGGTCGGCGGCGGTGCCGATCTGTGCGACGGCGAGGGCGAGCGTGGACTGGCGGCTGCTGGGGATAGGCGGCGACCTGGCGGAGGTGAATCGGCGACGGCGCGATGGCAGGGGAGAGATGAGGGCGTCCTGTGTCGGGGCGATGGAGAGCATGGCGAACCGGCGCCCTTGATGATGGAGGATTGAAGGCCTCGGTGGCGGCGGCGGCGCACTTGACGACGGAGCGGGAGGGGAGAGAGAGGCGCGGATGCGGTACGGGAGGGAGGTGCGGGGGAGTCGGAGAGAGATGCGTGCATGCGGGAGAGGGCACGGATGCGGAGGGATCTGGAGACGTCTGCTCGATCCTGACGCGGAGGGGAGGGATGCGGGGAGATGCGGGAGAGGATGCGCGGTCGAGCCGATGCGGCGTCGATTGCGGCAGAGAGAGACAGGGGGTGCGGGAGAGGAGGAGGAGCGACACGCGCGCATCTGGGACGTCCGATCTAACTCATCAGATGATTTTACACCGTTGGATGTGTGATATGATGTTCAATTATAGAGTAGATCAGCCAAAATACCAATGGATCCGGCGGCCACGAGCTGGACGTCGCCAGATCCGGCAGCCTCGGGCTCATGGCCACCGGATCTTGTTGCTCTGATAGCTGCGAACAGCAGCGCGCACACGACGGCGAACGGCAGGTCAAGGCTTCGGCGGAGCGGCAGGCCTAGCGACATCAACGAAGCTCCGCTCCTCTCCTCTCCGTTTTTTTTTCTGTTTTTTTTTCTTTTTCACCGACTGGCAAACCGTGACCATGAAATGTGGGAATAATGATGTTTACTGTATGCATTGCTAATTATTTCACTTATTTTATATTGCCGTACAGATGTGCTGGTGTATATATCCTGCTCATTTGACGATTCTTAAAATAATCGTTGCCACGAACTTCAATATCAATAATTAATATAGAAGATAAAATCAAATGTTTAGTACTTAGAAATTTAGGCCCCCATCGTTTGGCTTTTTTCCTGATAAGCCAAAACGGCTTATTAGAGAATAAAAATGAATTTGTAGGTAAAACTTTTATATATGTGTGACTTAAAAGTCAATACTGTAAAAGAAACTACGTTGAAAGCTTAAAATTTGGCTTTTTCTTTGGCTGTTTAGGCCATTCGATGGGAGCCTTACACTCTTCTTGAGTTAAATTTTAGCTCACCGCAGTCCCCAAGTTCTATGTGATAATCTCACCCTTTAAAAAAAGAGATACCTATCCCTATCGTCCATGCAACCAACCAAACAAATTCTCTTCCAAACCGTAAACCAACCAAACAAATTATCTTTCAAACCGTATCTCTTGTATGAGTAATTAAAAAGAGATATATGGCTAGCCTAATGCAAACAACCAAACAACTGCATGTGTATCCTCTCAACCAGGTCAAGCTCAGCCTGGATGAGAGAGATGGGCAAGACTAAGGGGATACGAGCAACCAAATGCACCCTAGGAGTAAAAGGAGCGGAGTTGAATAAGCGGATCTCCTGGACTAGCTAGGAGTAACTGTTATCGATCGATTTTTAGCTAGGAAACTAACTAAAACATATGCATGGGTGATGGATATATATGGCTGGTGTTGGTCGTTGCATCCGCTCTTGTCGTACGACCATCGATCTAACCGGGGGGGGGGGGGGGGGGCTGGCCATCGATCGCTGGAGAGCACAGCGGAGGGAGATCGAACAAGAGACGAATAGCCAGCAAAATAATTAAAGAGGTAGCTGGAGAGAAGGAGAGAGAGAGAGAGAGAGATCGACGAGCTAGCTAGATGGCTTCTTTCGGCGTGGCCCCCGTTGGAAACGCGGCGAGCGGCAAGAAGATCTTCCGGACCAAGTGCGCGCAGTGCCACACGGTGGAGCGCGGGGGCGCGCACAAGCAGGGTCCCAACCTTCATGGCCTCTTCGGCCGCCAGTCCGGCACCACCCCCGGCTACGCCTACTCCACCGCCAACAAGAACATGGCCGTCGTCTGGGAGGAAGGCACCCTCTACGACTACCTGCTCAACCCTAAGAAGGTCAATTATATTAATTATTTCTCTTTTATTTACTCTAGCTAATTTAATTAATTGTTGTTGTATATGTATAATTCCTCAATCATCAACACCAAGATCGAGTACGTACGCAATTTGCTAATAATTAATAACGGCTGAGGCTGGCTTTGCAGTACATTCCGGGCACCAAGATGGTGTTCCCCGGCCTGAAGAAGCCGCAGGAGCGCACCGACCTCATCGCCTACCTCAAGGAATCTACCGCCTAACCCATCCATCCATCTATCCATCATCTGCTTGCTGCAAAATATATATATATATATCGTATCATTATGTTTGTGTACCCCTATGTTATACTCCTTCCGTATTTTAATGTATGACACCGTTGATTTTTCGACCAACGTTTGACCATTCGTTTTATTCAATTTTTTTTTGCAAATATGAAAATATTTATGTCATGCTTAAAGAACATTTGATGACGAATCAAGTTATAATAAAATAAATGATAATTACATAAATTTTTTGAATAAGACGAATGGTCAAACGTTGGATAAAAAGTCAACGGCGTGATATATTAAAATATGGAGGGAGTAGTATATAGCATCTATCTCAATAAGCATGCATGCATGCATCTGTTTAATTATCGTTCCAACCATGCGTGCGTGCGTATTTGAAATTAAGAAGCATCGTATTTATCCTCTTCTACTGTAAAAGCATGCATGGATATCATATCGAGATCAAGTTAATTAATAGTAGCAATGCAAAGCATGCAGGATCAGAAATGTGAGAACGAAACATTTGATGTTTCCGAGCATATATGTACATTTAAATGTGTTCTTCTTCTTGTTCGTCTTTGGCACTATGTGTAGTCGTTCTGTCACCTAATGCTCTTGCCATGCTGCTTCAAGCTTACGCTCCACAAGTTTGGGATGAGTGTTCCAGAGAAGATGAGATTGCCAAACGTCGTCCTTTTCATCTTCTCCGAAGCCCGAAGGAGATTTCACCCGATATATCTTTGGAATACAAAAGATGTCGGTGCTATCACTGAAAATTTGATACCCGTTCTAAATTATGCTTTAATAAGTAAGACATTTTAGTCTTAATTTAATCACTATTTTTTATAAACTCATAGTTTAACAACACAAAATTTATATTTTTAAATTCACGGTGAGAAAAACTTTCATAATATACAGTTCACATGTTGTTACGTATTTTTAAAGTCCTATTTGTTTAGCTTTACAAGCCAGCTTATGAGCCAAAAAGTCTAACTCTGAATGACTTTCGTACATATATTTACTAAAACTAGTGTGTCGACGGGGGATATCCGTAGACCGGATATAGAGGGTATTGGGGTACGCTGGTACGAGAATCTACGTAATACGACATCAAGCAGACAGAAAACAGAGATTATACTGGTTTAGGCCCCTTGATAGGTAATAGCCATAATCTAGTTGATATGGGATTATATGATGGAAAATCACAGATTACAAAGGGAGTAGTGGAACTCGATGGTACTGGCGAGATCGTAATCGAGCTGGTTTGACTAGATCTCCCGGTGACTTGGCTCTTGTAGGCTCCGACTTCGTAGACTGCGGTGGATGTGTTGGCTATCAGATTCGATCCCTTAGGTCCTCCCAGGGGGTCCCTTTTATATCGCAGGTCAAGCGGTTTTCAAGTAGGACTCAGAAACATCGGACCCTGCACGATACATTGACGACCCAATCATGTTCGAGTAGGACTCCTTCCATCTGTGAAATCCGTGATGGATTTTCTTAACGTATGCAGAGAACGTCCATATACGCGTAGGCATGCCATATCGATATGTGACGCATATCGAAGGGTAGAGGGTATACTTTACCCGTAACCCTGACATAGTGGAAATGGTTAGTAATAGACTCTATCACTAAGTTTTAATACAATATTTTATATTCCTTATGCAGGAGTTAACGGTTAAAGTTTGCACTTAACAACCATCAACACACATCTACCACTTGTCCTCGAGCTCGATCCCTATGGCTCGCTTAGGGTAGAAGCAATGCATTGACCCAATTAAGCCTTACATTCAATGCAGGGTGACATATACCAGCCCAGCATGCTTTCGGGACTACGGACGATAAGACAACACATGCCAACACTAGGACAGGCCATCGTCACCCCTCAAAGGGCACATGACGTGGATTGATCAGGCGATGCGGTTGATTACCATGCTGCGCTCCGACCCATAGCCATATTGCACTTTCTTCCGATAGCTGGCACGCGGCCTGATGACTGGGCCCACTTGCCAAGAAGCAACAAGACTAAACACACCTAACCCTTGTACTGGAGCCCATTTGTAAGAGCGGTCACTGTGATATATCACCTTGCAACTATAAAAGGAGGACCAAGGCCGAAAAAGAGTGGGATGGGCCCTCGCCCTAGGGGGTTCAACGAGTCCAAATAGCTTAGCTTTCACTACAACAAGTTAACTTCCAGCCTCGACTCCACTCATGGTAACTCATTTCGAGCATCCATAGTCCACACACAGGAGTAGGGTGTTACAAACTCGTGTGGCCTAAACTTGTATAATCTCCTGTGTTCATCTCTCGCGCGATTAGCATATGGACTTGACTCACCCCCTGGATGAATCTCCAACGGGAGTACTAGCTTCCCCCGCTAGAGGAGTTTCACACTCCGACACCCTCATTGTCCTGTTGCTCGCTCAACGGCTCACTAGGGGTAGGAACGGTGGCGGTGGCATCTCGCTCGGTGCCACGCTAATGCGGCAATGCCCACGTTCTGTATCACTTGCTGTCATGCTACATCTTGCGAGCGATGACGGTCCTGGCTCCGGCAACCTACTTACACCGTCATCACCAGCTTCATGCCGTACTCTGTGGTGCTCACTACCGACTTGATCATCTTCTCAGTATAGGTCACGCTGGATACCACGTTCTTAGGTGCCACGCTTTGCACCGGAATTTGCGCCATCGGGCATCACATCCATGACCGCATCGATATCCCTCCACAGCTCCACTCCTCGCTACCGGTGGTTGCGTCGAAGACGCTCATTGACTCGAAGGCGTGCATGGCGGTCGTCGTGCTGATGTCCCTTGGTGCATCGCCATCCTCCACCTCAGCATGGTATGTATGTTGGAATTTTCGCTAAGTTGTACATTGCAACAAAACCAGAAAGGCTCAAATCTTCACCCTTCGGAGCATACACTGAAGGCATAATAAGGATGACGATGTGGAGAGATCAATAGAGAATGAGGGAAGGGAAGAGAGAGGATAGAGGGGGAAGAGATGGAGTAGATACATTTTTTAAATTTTTTTTAATTTCCATGTGATCTTGTGGGTCTTTATTTTTTTAAAAGAAAATTGTTTTATTTTTTTCGCTGATTGTACATCATAGTTAGAAGAGATGCTGAAGAATAGCGTACTGCGGGGTCTGGTGTACTTGGGCCGAAACCGGCCCAGAAGCGAAGAGGCAGAAGAGGCGCGTGAGAGGCGGAGAAGGAGAGGAGACTAGAGAGATCTGAGCTCTGGTCAGCCGAGCCAAGCCTGCCGGTCGCCGGAGGAGGCAACGACGACCATGATGGCGCCGTCCTTGTCCACCGCCGTCTCCTCTCTTCTCCTCCTCCTCCTCCTAGCCGCTGCTATCTCCGTCTCCTCCTCACCGCCGATGCCGGAGGACAGCATCCGGGTCATCTCCGCCGAGAAAAGGGTTCGTCAGTCCGATCTCTCTCGTGTGATGTCTAATTTTCATCCACCCGCTGCACTTGCACCTTGATTGTTTGAGGACCACAACTTCAAAACTATAGCGGCTGAAAGCTCCTCTGTGACTATTAATCCAAATCACTCCCCTTCTTTAATTTATCGACCGGTGTGTATGCATGCGTGGATCTATAATTTATTTGTAATTTGTTGCACTGTATTAGGATTTGGCTCTTGTTTAATTTTCTTTTAGCATGGTCTAGTTAGTCCTTGCCTGATTCACCTTGTTCGCCAGGCACTCCGCACCTTTATCAAATGGGAATATATACACTGTTATATACCTATGCTGCTTTGTACTACCACTTCATTTTTTTTCCTTTTGATTGGTGAAGCACAGCAATACACTTACTCAAATGCAAACTCCTGCAGATCGACCTCACCAGCCCCATAGTCAAAGTTTTCCTCACACTAAAGGTAAATTCTGATATCGATTCAACCAATTGCCATGTCAGCAAGGTCTGCATTTCTAGTCACACTTGAACCTCTTCCAGCTCGAGAATGATGCCACTGCCCCTGAAGCATCTCAAGTTCTACTCGCATTCACACCCACAGAGGTTGAACATCTTGCGATTGTCAAGGCGACCAGAGCGGAGGGGAAGCGCAAGAAGAAGATATATGTGCCTCTCTCTGTGAAAGCCTCTGATCTTGCTGCCGCTCCAAATGGTGCTCGCCTGTACTCCATTTTGCTGAGCACTCCATTGAAACCTGCTGAGGTGACGACGCTGGAAGTATTTTATGCTTTGACACACTCTTTGGAGCCCTTCCCAGCAGAGATCACCCAGTCAGATCCCCAGCTGGTTTACTACCGTGACAGTGCTGTGCTTCTATCTCCGTACCATGTTCTGGAGCAGGTTACCTACATCAAAATGCCGAGCAATAGGGTGGAGTCCTTTACAAGGGTGGACCCCACCAGTCGAGCTGGTAATGAAGTGAAATACGGCGCATACAACAACCAGCTTCCAAACTCGTATGTGCCCATACTTGTGCATTATGAAAATAATCGTCCGTTTGCTGTTGTTGAGGAATTTGTGCGCAAGGTGGAGATTTCTCATTGGGGGAATGTCCAAATCACTGAGCAGTATAAGCTGAAACATGGTGGTGCTCAGCACAAAGGAGTCTTTTCAAGGTTAGCTGTGAGCCTGCAAGAATCTTACACCTTGATTTTCATCATATCTAGTATTCTGCTCTTGGAATCCAGCTGCTTGAACTATCTTATTCTAGCACTATCAATGTCTGGTGCAAATCAAATTTCAAAAAATGCGCCAGCAAACCCATGATTCATGACTTAAACCCTGAATCCTTTATTGACATCGACTATCTGTCAACCTTCTTCCAACAATATAGGTCCTCTAGCATCGGATTCAAAATTTTTTAAAAAATATAGCTGAATATTTCTTTACTTCTGTTCTGGTTATGTCACACATGCCATGACGAATTCAAACAGGTGCATGCATCTATTTATATGCTAACAACATGCCTTACAGATATCAGATATGCAATTGAGTAACCTTTTGTTTGAAGATGTATGATATATTAACAAATCAGTCCTTCCGTGTATTGTTTTGGCTAATTTAGTTCATTGCTTTATGGTTACTCATTTGAAACCTTTCTTGCTAGGCTTGAGTATCAATCCAGGCCTTCTATAAGTGGAGTGTCATCATTTAAGAATCTTCTTGCAAGGTTGCCTCCTCGAGTTCATTCAGTATACTATCGTGATGAGATCGGCAACATATCTTCATCCCATTTGCGTAGTGATTCGCACAAGGTACAAGATACTTCTTCATGTGGTGTAATGAATCATATGCTAATGAGTGGAATATAAGATATCATTTTATCTTAATGTAAAAAAAACTGAGACTAATATTTTGATGTGATTGTTTTTCTTTAATGCAGTCAGAACTTGAAATTGAGCCCAGATATCCATTATTTGGTGGTTGGCACTGCACGTTCACCATTGGCTATGGTTTGCCATTGCAAGATTTTCTCTTTGAATCAGATGATGGTCGACGCTACATAAATCTTACTTTTGGATGCCCTCTGTTGGATACGGTGGTAGATGATCTTACCATCAAAGTAAGAATACAATGTTTTAAATTTTCTGATGAGACATATTTCTCATTTGATTCTAATTGTAGCTTCATTAAAGAAAAGCAATATTAAGTCATGTAGCAGATGGTCATGTCCACGAATGTTGCTAGATTCATACAGAATATGCTCATGAGTGATCTTCAACCTAAATTCAACCAATCATTTTATTTTTGGCCATACTTGATTAGTTATGTTCATTTGTATGTCTCCTATTTCATCTCTTGTACAACAAAGCAAAAATAGATTCTTGAGGAACAGACTGGATTGATGTTTGTTTGGAAGGAAAGATTATAGGATTTCTCGGCATGTTTACAGTCCTACAGCATCATACCTAAACCTTTTAATGTTACAGGTCGTGCTTCCTGAGGGATCGACAAGTCCACAAGCTGTAGTTCCTTTCCTGATGGAACAATATCTTGAGGTAATCCCATATTTTTCTGTATTGGCATTCTTTTGTTCATATATCTGTGTTCTATGTTTTAATGCTAAGCGGCAAGTGTACAACTACAAATTTCATAATGGTTATTATCAATAGATGATTCAGTCTAAGAACATTGGCAAGATTGCATTGTTAATTCAGTGGAATCATCTATCATCTGCTAAGGCCTATGCATGTTAGACTACATAATGCCAGCATTATCACCAGTGGCGAAGCCACCGTGGGGGCTGGGGAGGGCCTGGTGATCAGCCCGTATAATCTGGCCATCAGTTACTAGTGAGATTAACTAACTGATGTTATATGTGGTTGCAAGCCTCAAATTAAAATGATGAAATGACGTGACGTTGAATCATCCATATACTAAATATATTACTGAATTTAAAATAGATGCTATTTATTGATCTAATTTAAAATTGGTGATCATCCATATATTAGTAGACACATACGTCTAAAACCACATCAACAATCATGATTTCCATAATTATAAAAGGAGCGACTAGACATATCATACGCAATTGCGCATATTAATATAAACAAGAGCCGATTGAATATATCTTTCTCTTTTAGCTGATTGCCATGATATGCATGATGCTGATCACACATCCACACTCTACAGCATTGTCCATCGAGCCGCAAGTGAGCTCTCTCATCTTATAGATGACACCCCGAATCCCTAAATCCTGGCTTCACCCCTGATTATCACTTGAGCCTTCTCCATTATTTATCAATATGGTTGTTTGACTACTAGTAAGTAATTATGTCCACAGCTTTCATGGTTTGGTTTCTGTCGTGATCCGTGGATAGTTCTGTAGGAATGAGTAGGTAACAGGACACCAGTAACTGTTACAAGGAAATTTCACCATAAGCATTTAGTTTGCTCCTTCATAGATGGATTTTCCTATCGTTTCTAGTTTGATATTATCTTGCCCTTTTCGGATTTCAGTTCCCGAAGATTATTGTTTGATAATAATGTATGCTACCAATGCAGACTAGTTATTCATACCTTGATGTTGTTGGAAGGACGACAGTTGTACTAAAGAAGAGAAACGTAGTTGGAGAGCACAATGTTCCTTTCCAGGTACTCTCTGACAGATAGGCCTTGATACATTTTTGAATTTGATTGGTAATTGTCTGAATGTTGCTGTTGTGAGACTCTATCTGATAAGCATGACATCTCGGCTCAACTGCAGGTGTATTACGAATTCAATCCGATCTTCATGCTCGCAGAACCGTTGATGCTGATATCAGCCGTGTTCCTGTTCTTTGTAGCCTGCATTGCTTATCTTCACATGGATCTTTCCATTGGGAAATCATAGGCTCCTTGAAATATTTAGAGGCGCTCTCCGCACTTGCCCTTCTAATTATCACAGTTGAATCAAGGCTGCCTTTTGTGTTAGTTTGTACGGTTCCCGTGGGGGAGAAGATGGTCTTTTTGTAGAACGTTGTCGTTGTAGGAATGGGATGATGAGGATGACTTTATATAAGTATCCATACTTGATTGATCTGCTCACTTAACTACGTTACGTACCGCTTTGTTCCTAACTGTGGTATTAGCTGTTGCACTCACATAAGTGCTCACTTTTGTGGAGAGGGAGACTTGAAGAATTGCGCCAGAATCATTGTGGCCTTTTTTTTTGCAGATTAAAGTTGGGGCGCACTGGCAAAGAAAGAAACTCTGGAAGTGTGGGAAATCGCCATGTAAACATATAATCAAATCGAAATCAGACATGCGAGATACTCGAATCTACTCCCTCCGTTTCAAGTTATAAAATATTTTGACTTTGATCAGAGTCAAATTATTTCAAGTTTGACCAATTTGATAGAAAAAGTAGTAATATTTTTGATCCAATATAAATTTATTATAAAAATATATTTAATTATTAATTTAATAAAGCTTATTTGGTAATGTTAATATTACTATATTTGTATATAAACTTAGTCAACCTTGAAGCAGTTTGACTTTGACAAAAGTCAAAACATCTTGTAACTTGAAACAGAGGGAGTAACATACAAATAAGAAAATCTCGCAACATATTACGAAATGAATCAAATCGAAATCTGCCATGCTAGATACTCGTATCTAACATACAAATAAGGAAATCTCGCAACATATTACGATTATGTATATATATAAAATGAATCAAATCGAAATCTGACATGCTAGATACTCAAATAACATATAAGTAAGATAATCTCGCAACATATTACGAGTATCTAACATACAAGTAAGGAAATCTCGCAACATATTACGATTATATATGAAAAAAAAGAGTGAATTGCACTTTGGGCCGGTTATTATTGCCTGTGTTTTATTTTGGACTAGGTTATATCTAACGTTTTCACTTTGGTCTAGGTTTTCTTGCCTTATATTGCACATTGGACCACTTTTTTGTTTGCCACTCCTTGATTTCATTAGCGAGCTTACCTGCAACACAATAAACCAATCATTATTCCACATGACCTTGATTTCTTTACTCATTGATTTAGCTGCTTGACTTCTACCATTTTTTCCCTTAATTTATCATGTGAGCTTGGAACAAGTCACTGTATTGAGCTTGCAAGCGACAGCTACAGCAGCCAGCTACCACCAGGCTTGATTTTGCTGGTTCCTCAAGCTCGGGAACAGAGCAGAGAGAGAAGGAACCCTGGTGCTTTGCTTGATCATCCCTCAGATCCATGGCGCGGCTGCTTAATAGAGAAAAGGAGGGAAGATTGATGGAGAAGAAGGGTGGTCTAATTTAAAACTTCTGTAAATTTATCTAATCCAAAGTGATGAAGATAACTTCACCCCTTGTCCAAAGTGAAACTTTGGTAAAAATTCCTAGCCCAAAGTGCAATTAACTCAAAAAAAATGATGTTGAAATCTGACATGCTAGATACTCAAATCTAACATATAAATAAGGAAATCTTGCAAAATATTACGATTATATATGAAAAAAATGAATCAAATCGAAATCTGACGTGCTAGATACTCAAATCTAACATATTACGATTAAATATGAAAAAAATGATATGAAAAAGATGTTGAAATCTGACATGCTAGATACTCAAATCTAACATATAAATAAGGAAATCTCGCAACATATTACGATTATATATGAAAAAAAATGAATCAAATCGAAATCTGATACTCAAATCTAACATATAAATAAGGAAATCTCGCAACATATTACGGTTATATATGAAAAAAAATGAATCAAATCGAAATCTGACGTGCTAGATACTCAAATCTAACATATTACGATTAAATATGAAAAAAATGATATGAAAAAGATGTTGAAATCTGACATGCTAGATACTCAAATCTAACATATAAATAAGGAAATCTCGCAACATATTACGATTATATATGAAAAAAAATGAATCAAATCGAAATCTGATACTCAAATCTAACATATAAATAAGGAAATCTCGCAACATATTACGGTTATATATGAAAAAAAATGAATCAAATCGAAATCTGACGTGCTAGATACTCAAATCTAACATATTACGATTAAATATGAAAAAAATGTGTTGAGAGTGGGATTTGAACCCACGCCCTTTCGGACTAGAACCTTAATCTGGCGCCTTAGACCAACTCGGCCATCTCAACCGTTGGTAGGATTATCGGTGAAATTAAATTTTATAACAAAAAATCTCCTCCTTTCTGAAAAAAAAACTTGCGCTGCGTTCCCCACTCCCGACTCCCCACCCAGTCCCCACTCACCAGCCCGTCCGTTGAGTAGTCGAAGAATCCCAAACCCTCTCCTCCTTCCATGGCGATTTGACCCCCAAACCCTAGCAATGCCCTAGACTAGGACTAGTAGGTAGCGGAAGGAAGCTGGAATCGGAAGGAAGGAAGGAAGGTGGGAGGGATGGGTTCGAAATCGAACACGGAGAGGGCGAGGAAGGCGCTGGAGGCCATGAAGCAGCTGGGTTTCTCCAAGAAGGAGGCCACCCCTGTCCTCAAGAACCTCCTCAGGCTCTTCGGCAACAACTGGGAGCCCATCGAGGACGAGTGCTACCGCGCCCTCGCCGACGCCATCCTCGACCGCCACCAGGTGTCCTTGTCGCCAAAGCCCTCCTCTTTTTTTTTGGTTTACATTTCGATTCGACTTACTTAGCCGCTGGGGTTCTTCAGGAGACCGCAGCTGACCGCGGCTGCAGCGCGACAAGGCCAACGCCGGACGATGATCATCACCCCCTTACCCTCTGTGGTGCTTCGCGCGACGTGGATACTGAGACCGACGAACCTCGCACCAAGAAGCCTAGGGCCACCAACTCAGATCCTCAATCGCCTCCATCCCTTACGGACGACCAAGATGTTCCTGCAGCTATCTCACCCCCATCCCATGGTGCTTCTCCTCAATTCCGTCCACAGACCAGGGCCTCTGCACGACTGCGCCAAGCTTCTCCTTCTTCTGTTACAGCAGCACACAAGAGGCCAAGACAGATGATGGATGAAGATTTCCAAGACTCTGCATTCCTCAGGGAACCCAAGCCTGAGCCCGATATCGATATGGACGCCATACAAGGCACTGCTGCTACATCAGACTGCCCAAATGCCCACCTTGGCCTCATTGACTATCCGCTCAATGCCAGCTCCTCAAGGGTTGCACTTCCTCTGGCATTGCTTCCACCTGATCAAAATGTTCCACAGATTTCAGGTTCGCCTACAAAATTTTAATTGATTCATCCATTTGTTGTCATGCCGTGGATAATAGGGTACCATAGGTGTTCATCACTTCCATTATTAGATTACGGCATTTTGCTGTTTGCTGGATTGGCATTTTAAAGTAAATAGGAAAATAGGAGTAATTTCATCAACCAGGCAGTTTGTGCAGCTATTAATTATAGGGGTGTTTGGATCCTAGCCTCATTTGCTAAGGCTAGGCTGTGCTCAACTAGCTCTTTTGGGTGAAGGTCAGGTAATCAGCCTCGTTGTTTGGCTCACGCAAGATTGACAATGATGTTTCCACACAATCTTTCTCTCTGTGTGTGGCAACTGGCAAGGACTTCCTTGTGCACATTGGCTATCGTTCCATCCAGAGCGAGGCTTTCTAGCTTTTACCGAACGGCTGGCCTTTGCTTAGCTAGGCTATAACTGTGCTAGCCACCTAGCTGTTTTAAGAAAAAGATGTAGCCTACTATCTTAAGAACACATCTTTTTCATTCAGTTGGTTACTCCTCTAGTCCTCTTAAAGCCCTAGACTAAAATATGCCATATGCCTTTCCATATATTTTCTTTGGCACAATTTAGAATCTTCTAGCCTTCAAAAACTCTGCTGGTAACAGGTTGCAACCTTTGTTTGATATCTTAGCGTGATAATTTTTTAGGGGACGTCTCCAATAGTTTGATCAAACACATCTTTTGGTCATTTTATTGCATTCAGTATGCTTAGTCTGGTTGGACTCATTTAACCTATGAACTTTATACAGGTCCTAAAAAAAGGGCAATTCAACCTTGTAGCAAGGTGAACACGGGGGAAGGATCTTCAGTCATTGATGTAGCATCATCCACTATGGGTGAGGTCAAAATGTCACTGAAATGCAGTGTTGACCCAAAGTTCCGCATGCCTTCCTTAGAAGCAGTTTTCAAGATGGTGGAGGATAAATATCTTCACTCATACAAGATTCTGCCTCCTGAGTTTTCCATTGGTAGCCTCATGAATGAGATATGCCAATGTGTTGTACAACTGGGTAGTGATCATATTGCAGAACATAATACAGAATCAGATGTTGCTGGCAATGGGAGATGCTCACAAAATGAGCCAATGACAGGTAGCATTCCATTTGTGAAGCCAATAGCATGCGAGGATGGTGGAAATAGGAAATGTAAATCTGCAGGAGAATCATTTATTGTGGAAGACTCAGAAAATTCAAGTGTTGCTAAACAGCAGACTCATTTGGCACTTGCCAACTTGAAGCCTATCCATGATGTAACTGATATATCCAAGGGAGAAGAGAGAGTGAGGATATCGGTGGCCAATGAATTTGCAAGTGAGAAATGTCCTCCTTCCTTTTATTATATACGAGGAAACCTTGTTTTCCAAAATGCTTATGTCAACATCTCCGTTGCAAGAATTGGTGATGAAGATTGTTGTGCTGATTGCTTTGGCAACTGCTTGTCTGCACCTATACCATGTGCTTGCACAAGAGAAACCGGGGGCGAATATGTGTATACACCAGAAGGTCTGGTTAGGACACCATTCCTTGATGAATGTGTTTCTATGAATCGTTTCCCAGAAAAATGTCACAAGTTCTTCTGTAAATCATCCTGCCCACTCGAGAGATCTAGGAATGAAGCTTCACCAGAGCCTTGCAGAGGACATCTTGCTAGGAAATTTATCAAGGAATGCTGGAGTAAATGTGGTTGTAACATGCAATGTGGTAACCGTGTGGTTCAACGTGGCATCACATGCAATCTGCAGGTAATATTTAATGCCTTTGACTTGTATTGGTATTTATGCTATATTTGTCATTGGCAGTGTGCAGATTATACTAATGCCGAATGTTTGAATTACTGTCAATTCGAACGTCCAGGTATTTTTCACAGGAGAAGGGAAGGGTTGGGGTCTTCGCACTCTTGATGAACTGCCAAAAGGAGCCTTTGTTTGTGAATATGTTGGGGAAGTACTAACTAGTACAGAACTGCATGAAAGGACACTTCAAAACATGAACAATGGTAGGCATACCTACCCTGTTCTCTTGGATGCTGATTGGGGTTCTGAAGGTGTGTTGAAAGATGAAGAAGCTTTATCCCTGGATTCAACATTTTATGGGAATGTTGGGAGATTTATCAACCATAGGTGTGCTCCGGTTTTCAAATTAATAACTATGGCCAGCAACAAAGATTTGGCTTATGTGCATTACTTATGTTTTTTCTGTTTGAATACTTCACTACATAGATGCTATGATGCGAATTTAGTTGAGATACCTGTTGAAGTGGAGACGCCTGATCATCATTATTATCATGTAAGTTCTCTTTAGCTACTAAAAAGTATATGCTTTTAAGGCTCCTCAAAAGAGCACATCATAGACTATATATATATATATATATATATATATATTTTGGGTGACACAGCTTGCATTTTTCACAACCAAGAAGGTGGAGGCATTTGAGGAGCTCACATGGGTAAGTCTTGTCTAGTTACTTCTGAATATTACTGCAGCATATACTTTGTGCAAATGTCTGAACATATGTGTTTCTCTAAGAAAGTGTTCCTGCAGATGCTGAATGATTTACGTAGCTTAAGTACTTCGTACTTCTCTAAAAAGATTGAGCTTAAACTGTTTCAATCTCTCCTTACCGTCCTTTGTTTGAGGCTTCTCCAACGTATATCCAGTGGGCAATTCCATTTATAGCATCTCTTCACATGCTTTGATGCAATTCTCAATTCACAACCTATATTATTTACAAATTTATTCTATTTGGTCATGTGCTCTCATTATTACTCAGTTCAGTTATGATGCACGGTGACCAACCTTTTATCGCATCATGTCAGGTTTTTAATAATTGTGTCATTTGTATGTTAACATTGTATAGCAATATCTGCTGGCCACTTCATCCTATTCTCAGCGAAGTAAAATCGTATCAAGTTCTAGGTTCCCTTTTCCCCTGTTGCATATTTGTTTTGGGTTACTCCTTTTGTTTATGGGACCAACCTAGAGCTGCAATATATATAACACCTATTAATATCTGTGGAAGATGTTCCCCTTTACATTTAATATTCTTGGTTTCAGGACTATGGTATTGATTTTGGTGATGGCAAAGATCCTGTTAAAGCATTTCAGTGTCTATGTGGAAGCAGATATTGCCGCGGTATCAGGCATCCGAGTATGTTCTCCTTGCTTGGTTTAAAACCATTTACTTTAAAAATTGCATGCCGGATTGTTCTGCATCTAAATTTTGCATATTGATTGAGGAAGTGATTGTTTAGGTACTTATGCTCTTTTGCAGGGAAACGAGGGAAAGCTGCTGCGAAATGATCAAAGGACTTGGTAGAAGATACGGGGTTGATGCACGCGTGCATCACGGAACGAACTAAACTAATATCGTAGTAGATTAGCTACAATCTGTGCTTTATTTTAGAACTTGTCTACTTGTCAGTTAGACTGTTCGAGAAACCTTTTGGTTTGTGAATGGCGCTGAAGACCCAAAGTCCTACCTTTTGTAGTTCTTGGAATCTGTCGCTTGTCAAAACAGTAATTCCTTTTTCCGCACCTCCTTCCGCTCCGAAGCCATACACCTAGGGTCCCATGGGTTCTTTCATAACCTACCACATCCTTAAATATTTTTAGCATGAAAAACTACTAAATTTCAGCACAACCCTTTTTGATAGGTCAAAATGTTGGGCCCGTTACCACTTCTTGATGCTCGCCGGCTTGCCGTTGGTGCTAGGCAGTGCAGCTGTTGAGCTTCACGATGTGACTTTTACGCTGATTTGGGCTGAGTTCGCTGGAGCTGTTGTGGCTAGGGATGGCAATGTCCCCCGCGGGGCCGGGTCCCCTGGGCGGGTGGGATTTTTCACCCGCGGGTGCGCCGGGGTCGGGGCCCCGCATTTGGCCGGGGAGGGGACGGGGGAACATTTCACCCGCGGGTGACCCGCGGGGCCCCGGGGAGGATATATAAACCCTCAAAATATAGCCCATTGAAAGCAAAAAAAAAAGCCCAACCCATCCAAATAATGTACTAAACCCTAGCTCTCACTCTCTCCTCCCCATTTCCCCTCCCCTCCCGTCACACCACGTGAGACAGTGGTGGTGCATCTCGTCATCTCCCCTACCCTCGACGTCGCTGGCCACATCTCGGCGTTGCCAGCCACCATCTCCCCTCCCCTCCTCTCCAGTCTCCCCTCTGGCGTCCAGCCTCACGTCTCCCGTCCCCTCCACGGCTCCAGCTCAGGGCCACGGCGGTGCACAGGGCGCCGCGGCGGCGGCGGTGCACAGGGCGCGGCGAGGCGATAGGCGCGGCCGGCGAGGTTGCAGCGCACAGGCGCGGCGGCGGCCGGCAATTCACGTCTCCAATACTCCCAAATACTCCAGGCGATTCACAGGCGAGGTATTGCTCCATCTCCAATACTCCAAGTCTTCAACTGTGCCTTGTGAATGAAACTGTGCCCAAATGCATGTGTTATTGAGTTGGTCTCTTAGGAGATAATCCATGTGATGCACTAAGTTGATAATTGTCTTGGATTTTCTATGCTGATTGGATAGAGATACTACTCGCTGCGGGTCCCTGCAGGGGTCGGGGGCGGGTGGGATTTTTCACCCGCATCCATGGTCGGGGCCGGGGCCGGGTAGTAAAGTCGGGGGTCGGGGGCGGGGCCGTTCCAGCCCAACCCGGCTCCGACCTGCCCTGTTGCCATCCCTAGTTGTGGCTCGGAAAACGGAGCTGATCGTTAGGCAGGAATAAGAGTAAATTGCATGGGTGACATACAAATTTGTTAGGTGGTTTAATTTAATACATAAACTTATAAAATACTCGTTTGGATGCACAAACTTGTCTAATTCGTATAAACTAGGATCGCAATGACTTGACAAGGTTAATCTTACAAAGCTAATGTTGATTAGAATGTGACGTGCATACGTAAAGTGAGTACGCATAAGATGTGCTATATTTATAAATGAGGAATTTCATATATTTCTTACCCTTTCTAAGCATTTTTAGCTATAAATTTGGACACAGGTAGTATATCTTTACAAAAGTTGTACTTAGCCAATATAAGATTATTTAAAAACTATGTCATTATCACAACAGTTGAGACGATAAAAGCTCTAACCATTAACTAAAAGAATATTTATTTTATTAACTTTTTTTTCTATTTTTCACCCTCATGTAACCATGTTTCCATATAGAGTTTAAGAGTCGTTGTTAGGCCATTGTTACCGTAGCAATAACATTTTATCTCTCATATTTCTCTTTTCCATGTCAACAAATATTCATAATTAGCAACGCTAAGAAAGAACAATTGTACATGACCTTAACTTGTTGCCTTTTAATTTGCAGTAACTCGTGCAGTTTGAGTGGAACTGACTTAATTGTACACCTTGCAACGATCGCCTCGCCTGTAACAATTTTTCATATACTCTTTCATGTCTCTCATCTACATACAGACATACAGTGCAGTGTATCAAAACAGAACAAAAAAAACAACTTCCATCCGACAGAGTGTATATATCATTCCTTTCCTTTCCATTCCAGTTATATCTCTACATATATATCTGTTTCGTGCGTGTGGTTACAATTACATCATCTATCTGTACAGCCAGCAACGCTGTCGATCTCTTCTTCCGCTCTTTTGTTGGTTGGTGTTGCCCAAGTAACAAGTGAAGACGGACGGGCAACACAAAAAATGAACAATTCAATGCATGCCAACAATATATATATAGTAGCCAACCAAAAATCTCTGTCCATCATCAGGAATTCAGGGATGGACCAGAGGCAGCTCAGCTCCCTTGCATAACTAGATCAATCAGCGATCCGTCCGTAACGCCTGCGTGCCTCTTGCCTGGTTGTCCATGCGCGCCCTTCGTACCGCCTGCTGGATTTGACGCTCGTGTTCTTTGAGAATCTCCTCCATGTTACCTCCGTGAGGCATCAACGGCCCAGAGTAGTGGATCCTGTTCTTCTTACTGCCATTCACCTGATGATACGCCATACATGCCTCCACGTTCGCTCTCATGACCTAGAAATTCTCATATTAATCGGAGAAAAAGAAAAAGCAAAATTCATACAGAAATACAATTTAGAAATAGCTGAAATTCGGAATTAAAAAATAAGGAATATTAGAATATGAGACTAGAGTCCATATGAAAATATAATTTAGAAATAGTTGAAATTCGGAATTAAAAAAT